ATAGAAAAGAAATAATAAGATAAAGAGAATAAATTTCAACGCACCTCAATAAACGGAGCTCCACATAAAGTACCTCAGAAAAGTGGATCTTCCGACCAGTGTTTTTGTTGACGTCGCAACCAGATGATGTAGCTGCTTCTCATAGACGTCTTACTGCACAAATTACAAATAAATTTTATTCTTCGATTAGAAAACCCAAGCGCTTTCAGAGCCCTCCGAAGAGAGTCCGGGATGAAACCACGCTCACCTACCTCAACCGAAAAAGAAAATACCTGCCACCCGTTTGCTCGGCATTGATCGGCCAGATACGCATACCGCCTGTCCTTCCGCGAGTTACTGACACTGAATCTGTCCTCAGCACAAACTGTCAACTCCATCCAGAATACAATCCTACGACTCGTAGAGTACAGAACTATATCTGGTTTTAGGGTGGTAAGTGCAACACAGCTAAGGAAAGAAATCTTTGCACTAACTGAGTCGACAAGAAGTTTCAAGTCTGAGGCCGCTGACAGGAGATCAGTCGTAACCAACTTCCGTCTGGGATGAACGCAAACTGGCTTCTCTCCCGCCTTGAAAAACGTGATGAAGTCAAGCTCATTTGGAGAGAGATTGAGAGAGATGGAGATCGCGAGAGAGATCGAGACAGAGATCGAGATCGAGAGATCGAGAGAGAGAGAGAGAGAGATAGATAGATAGATAGATAGAGAGAGGGAGAGAGGGAGAGAGGGAGAGAGAGAGAGAGCTTGGAGATAGAAGAGCACAGTGCTCTTGGTGATGGGGACTGCGAAGGATAGCAGGTTCTGGAACATGTGCATGAGAATCAGAATATTGGTGATGACGGCAGCAGGGTTATAAGGTAAGCAGCTGAACACTAACAAGAACAGGGAAAGAGTTGGCGAGCAGATTCAAAGTGCATCAGTAGCAGAGAGCCAGTCCTGAGCAAGAAGGTGACGGTACACCTTTTTTATTAAAGCTTTGCATGAGGGGCTGGGCGGGTGGGTAGTGGAACAGGTCTGGTGGCAGGGCATTCCACGTTGCAAAAGGGCAAGCAGGGAATGCTTGGAGGCCGCTATTCCGGGTGTTGGCAGGCAGGCCAGTTGTCATCTGGTATCGATGGGAATCCTGCAGCTGGGGGGACTGACGGGTGGGTGTTGTCTCGGGGGCACGCTGAGTGGCTGGGTTGGGCAGAATCTGCTTCGAAGGGCTGGGTGCATCCAGACAGCAGAGCTTGTAGGTATAGGCAAGTGCAGCTACCAGGCGACTGAGTGCCAGGCTAGGAAGCCAAGTACCTGCTCCTATGATGTGGAGGGACCTTCGCTTTATCTGGTCCAGCTTCTTAAGATGGAACGAGGGTGAGCCCAACCACACTAAGGGGCAATACCCGAGTGTGGGTCGCACAAAGCCGTTGTAGACGCGTTGGCGGCTCTCGGCGTCCAGAATGGGAGACACTCGCTTCAGGAAGCCGATCCGCTGGTTAGCACGGGGAGCTGGGGAGCGGAGGCATTCTAGTTGGTTGCCGTGCACGTGTTGTAACCATTATTGTGAGGATTGGTTATCCTGCTGGGGTGGCTGCGCAGCAGGCTGGGCAGCATGCTTCGCATCATGCGACATCGAACCGGGTGACCGCTCAGCAGAAGAACGTTTGTGGCTGTGTGGCGGGTTACAGGTGTGCCGGCTGCGGCAGCGCACAGACCACGACTCGCGCTCAAGAAGTCATTAATCGTGGCGCACATCCTAAGTTGCTGTTGCTCTTGATCATGCTGCTGTGCTTCCAGCTGGTTGGTGCTACTGTTGCTACTGCTGCTGCGGCGACTGCTAGTGCTGCTGCGGTGACTACTGGTGCTGCTGCGGCGACTGTTGTTGTTGCTGCTGTTGTTGTTCTTGTTGTGGCGGCTGCTCTTGCTGCTGCTGGTGCTGTTGGCTGCATTCGCATTTGCGGAGGTGTGGAATCTCCATGGTCTGCAGTAGAGTGGCCTTGGCTATAAATTGGCGGACGTTACTGTCAGCTTGGAGGTGGCATCACCCGATATCCTGGCTGACACTTGCTCGTTTCCGGCTGTATGTAGGCTACATTGGTGGGCATTGACAGGCGTCCCCACGCTTTCCGACCTACTGTGTACAAACTTAGTGGGACTGTCCACTGTAGAGTCGTGGCTCAAGTTGCCCACAAAGAATACAGCTTATCTCTTGGCGAGCCCCCCGCAATTAATTTTCAACTGTCATCCTTGGTGACGGCCAGGATAGGTTGGCTCTTCTCGCAGTTTGATTGCATAGTCTCAGGATCGACCAAGCCAGAGTCGTCCGTACGGATACGGGTTTCGCGCTGTGCAGAGCCAGAGGCCATGCCGGTATGCCCTGACTGTTGTTCAACATCTGCATCGGCTGCATCAGCTGGGTCGAGCTGGTTTTCTGCTGCAGCTGGGTTAGGCTGGCCCTGCTGGGGAGGACGGTTACTAGATTTCATACGCAGGTACGAGATTTGTCGCCTTGGGCTTGGTGCTGAGAAGATCGTGCAGGGGCCTTGTCGGGAACAATGGCGGATTTGTGCAAAGAAAGAAATTCCTCATGTAGGGCTAAGAGCTGCGCGGAGAGATCGTCCACACGCGGATGGAGACGACCCTCACGATCCCTCGACTCGCTGATATGAGAGGTCAGGGTCTGCAGCACGCTGGGAAGAGTATGCTCTATACCCGGGAGGGACCAGAGCAGTTTCATCGCAGGCTCTTCTGCGAGCTCGCCCACGGCGAAGACGTTCTCCCTGATAATATGTCTGCTTTACCTACCTACACCCCTACACTATGCTACCCTACACTGCCACTAATACTACTGTCCTACTTCCAGACCGGCCTGTTGCCAGCTGGGCTGTCAAACACTACGGAGCTGAAAAAGTCACAACTGTCCACAGTCAGTGCATTTGTACATGGTGAAGCCCTCGTGGTCCGGGGACATGTGGGCTGCTTTGCCACGTGAAGGACCAGGCAAAGCAGGAATCCCTGGGTTGGTAGCTGATGGTTCAGTGGAGCTGCTTGTGTTGGGACTTGTACCTTAGATGCCTAAGATGCCTTCTTCCGACGTTGTGGCTGCTGTGCCTGTTGTTCTGGGGCTGGCGTCTGCTGTTGGCGCAGGTCAGGTCCAAGGGTGACCGGGGGGGGGGGGGGTGGGGGGCTGCAGGGAGGCCGTGATGGAGTCAGCAATCGTGCTCCCACCTTGCACCAAGCTGGCATAGGGGGTTGATTTTGACCTGAACTTAATGATAAATATTCAGAAAACACAATAGTATTGCCATAAATAAGATACATTGTGCACTCATAACAACAGCAAAAATGAAGAAAGTCAAGTTCCATAACGTTTTCTTGTGACTGTCATCAGTGGAACGCCGTCACATAAAAATGTAATAACTAAAACACACACTTATAATACATGTAGCTTATATGGTTTCAGTCGTTTGTTTTAACACAATAATATCATAATCATTAAAGTAACTACAAAACACAAAACGAGCCGACTTATCTTGGCGATCTCTCAAACTGCTTGGCTCTTTTATAGGATTCGCAGAGGATATTCAGGAAAAAATATGTGCCACGAATAGATTTTTCGGTTCCATTTCGCGTCATATACTGAACTGCAGACTCTGTATGTTCTTTGCCCTCATCCTGCCTATTCTGTTGTATAACTGCGAAATGTGGGCACTGACACAGCAAGTCAGTACTCGGCTGGCCGTATGGCATTGACGGAAATTGCGAAACCTGCTTGGTGTTGTGTACTCTCACCACATTTCCAATGCCACGGTGCACTCCTCAACACAACAAGACACAGTCAACATTATTTGCTGTAGACATGGAGTGCTCTGGCTGTGCCATGTTGTTCGTGAAAAACCTGACTTAGCGTCTTACCAAGCACTTTAGAATACCGGGGACATCAAATGCCAACGTGGCCGACCCCATCTCAGATGGATTTACAATATGGGCCTCAACCAGCGAAAACAGCCCTTAAGGTCAAAAATTTCAAAATTCCGCTTTGGTTGGAAATTTGTTGAAACACATCTACTGAAGGACCTCAGCCAAGAAAAGGTTTAATATTCTGATTCAAACCGGGTGTATTCACGAATATACAAGATGTACTCCAAATTGGTGCAATGTATGTATATGATGTATGTGTACAATGAATATTCAGCATTCTAAGGTGGGTGGGCAGCTGGAATACCTTTGAAATAGTGCAGTAGGCAGCTAAGATGCCAAAGAATACATGAAGAGTGCGGAGACATGATCGACATATTCGCAGCTGCATCCGGCGTGGAGTCGTTCCGCAATCTCAGCTTCCATTTCTTCCTCCGCAGCTAAAGACGCGATGTGGCTGCCGTCAATAGCCCCAGACTCAGAATTTATCAAATGATGACTCGTTTATCTTCCGACTCTGACGTGTCATCGGCCACCTTGAGCCGCATCGCAGCAGGAGATGACGACTGCGATTCCGCCTCGCTGTCGACATCTATGTCGGAAACAAAGCCAGTGAACGTCTCATGCTCACCCTGAACTTCAGCGGCTACTTCAGCATCCACTCCCCACCAGGATCGAGCTAGCTGTACACAATGACTGCCACGTGTGCTCTGGCGTCTGCAGCCATCGCAACAAGATCGGTGAACACTCGAGTCGACACTCGACACCACTTCAACTTCAAAATAAACTACTTCAAGCAAGGAGTTCAAGAAGTAAAGAACTCGTCGCGCCAGCGCTGTTCGCAGTGCGATCCAAAAAGGTTGAACATCACGAATCGACCTTTTTCTCGAAAAAAGTACGAAACCTCTAAGGGTCCTTTTCGCTGATTGCGGCTCATATCAACAATGATATACAACACGCTGATATTGATATTTCTGACTGTTTTGAAATGGCTCTAGATGAGGAAAATGGCTTATGGTTGTGGAAAAAGGTGCGTGTGTGTGTGCTTGTGTGGATGTGTTGTCCGTATGCATATGCTTCGTGTTTCCCTTGCTGTGTGTCCAGACTCGTCAGGAACAGAGGACCCAGAACATATACACCAGAGAATCAACCTCCAAAATAGGCTCCAGGTCAGCTGAGGAAACAGGTGGAGATGAGGATCATTATGACAACATTGGCCTCCTTGCTGAGGTAAGTTACCAGGTGCTCTGAATTAACGTTTGCAGCAAAACATAATGGTTCCTGAATTGGTCTGAACACGTCGGAGTCTGTATCGAGTTACATTGCAGATGTTACTTCAATAACCTACAACTATTTACGTTCAGATATGTGATCAAGAGGGGTAAGTAGCAGCATTCGGCCTTGTCCAGATTCTTATCAACCGCCACACCACACCGCTGCGCTCTCCGGCCGAACTCAAAACGTTACCACAGCACACCATCAGCAAAACGACATTTCAGTTGGTACTCTGCTCTTTCAGACAGGAGCTGTTTCGATCATCAGGATACGTGAGTTTAGAAAATGGACAGAAATGGAAGCAATGACACAATAAGTTGATTGATAGACACGTTGCTAGCTAGATCCTGACGAAACGGTTGTGTTCTTCTTTGTCATTACTGCTAACTGCAGTCACCTCAACCAGTCGAAGATGAAAATTACAGTTGTGCAGTGGGACCTTCTTTTGGACCGGCAGCAGATGAAGATGAGTACGACAACACGCATTTTCTGTTTCCCGCAACTGCGGATGCGACAACAAGGGTAAGTGACATACATAATGGAAGAAATGTTTAAATTATCATCAATTTCGCCTCTCACCTCCTTGTGTGGAACTAATATATTCCCAACGCAACCTCAGCCAAACATGTATGGTCACTATTGTGTGTATCCAAGCCCACGTTTGATTCGATGTTGTTATTAAATTGATGACGTTCTATATTCAAACCCTCATGCAGCCAGCCAGGTACACAAGAATCATAATACTGGTATGGACAATAGAAGAGGAACACACAAGGAAACGAGTAATGAAGCAAAAATCCACGGCTGTAGCAAGATAATAAGCAGTGAGAAAGTGCGATAGCAGGTCACAAGACTGATACTCTACTGACACTTTCAACGACCTGAGACCTAGCTCTAACACATCTCCAGTGCGCAAGAGACTTCCAACTCGGAAGGTTCATGGTGGGGTAGAGCCGAAGAGGGGAATGTGAGCGCAGCGAACTGGATATGTGTTAGAGCTTGGTCTCAGTTCTCAGGTTATCGTGGATAGTTGTTCATAACTCGTTTCCTTGTGTCTTATTATTCTATTTTACTTTATTACTGGCTCATTATCAGAGTTAAATAATAATGGGAAAATACGTACGTTACTTTGTTTCTGATATCAATAGTGCTAGACTTGATTAATTTCGCTTGTTGAAAAAAATCATATTCTGGACACTTTCTGGACTCCACCTTCTAGAAGATCTATGGCACAAGTTTCCGGTCTTGTGTATTTTGATAGTTGTTTCAACTAGCCCTCGCTGGTGTCTTCCCTACAGACTGTAAATGGAGAGGAGTCAAACGCCACCTATGACACTCTACAATCCTGGCCTCTTCCTGAAACGACTGAACAAGCTGCGAGCACCACATACGACACACTGTGTCGAGGTGACAACATCCAGGGAGCGCAGGTGAAACATACACCCTGACGTTACATTTATGTATTTGGTTATAAAGTAGTAGGCAATCACTCATTTTCTCATCTTTCCCGCATGCGTTCACAGCACACAACTAAATATCTACTTTGAAGTACTGGAAATGCAGAACATAAAATTCCTCCACACTACACATGTTGCCAAGAGTACCAAACCCCTGAGAGTGTGCAACTCGACTATGGGTGCTGTCCCGACAGAATTTCAAGTTGACGTCATTTTGATGATGCAACGCGCACTGTACACGGATTATCAGACGAATCCGGAACATGTGGGGGACCGAAGCCGATCTGATCATGTACAAATCATTGCAAAGACAAACGTGTGAGGCGTTGACACCCGTACAAGGAGCATTGACTCATAAATAATGACGTCAACTTGAAATTCTATAGGGACAGCAGGGTATGTGGGAGTTGCACACTCTGGGGGTTATGTACTCTTGATGTTGCTTATTGGATATTCGGCATTTGACGCAAGGGTTTTGCATTGATTTAAACAAATTCATAGGAAGGGAATAGTGAAATCATTGAATGGCAGTGTTTTGTATATTTAGGCTAGTCCACAATAGACGTGTTCTGATGATAGTGTGTCAACTTCAATCTTCCAGGATGATCCTGCCTTGGCGAACAGTACGGTATACGAGGCTGTGGAGGCGCATCCAAAGGTAATCTGTTACGTAACCTGCACAATGCCGCATACAGAAGGGCACGGAAAATAGGAGGAGAGAGTTTAGCCGGCCGGCTTTCCGAAAGTTTCCCCCAGTCATCACGGTATAAGTTGCTGGATTGTATCGGCGTACTTTACTTTACAGACAATTTGCCATAGAGGGTATAACATGTATTTACGTCGCTGAACTGAATTCTCACAGTGAAACTTCCAAGAGGCAGCTCTGGGTCAGGAGGAACCATCTAATCGTTCACTTCCTTAGGCAATTTGAGCCACCTTTGCAATACCGTCAAAAGAGACTACTGTAGTATAATCTCTACTTACATAATGTTACTTGGGTTTGATTAAGTCGATATGATCACGAGAAGTGAACTAGGTGGCGAGAAGTGATTATATTTTATGACTTTCCCTTTTCGATTCCCTATACCTAAGGATAGTTTTATGCTTTTTTATTTTCCTTCAGGGAATTGGTGGAGATGGATTAGCAAATCCGCTGTATGACTCTATGCTACCGTGCACCATCGTAAGTATTTGCCCTATCCCATTGAAAATTACTGAATTGCCATAGACTACTATGGGACAGCTGATTTAGGATTGATATGAATTGCATTTTGGACGTTGAGACATGAATGAAGATTCACCAAATGTAAGTTTCTATTATCAAGATCACAATAGAGTCAGATTGTGCGACGGATAGGCCCCAAAATATCACTTCGCTCCCTCGAAAAAAGAAACGTTAACGAACAATTTCGTTTAAAACTTGGGTGTTGAGTCAAAAATAAATGTAGAAAGGAAAAGGACATATGGATACGAGTTAAGAGTAACTCTCCATCCAATTGCACACCCGATGAGCCGTCATGAACCATACGACGAAACGTACGTCGTGTGAAACAACTTGTTTTGTAGTCAACTAGTCCATCACAATATCATGCATGAGGAATACCGTAGGAGTTTGGCTTTCGGCTTGTACAATTCGTTTTCGCAAAGCTTCCCCTTTCTTTACTAAGCCTTATCTTTGATATTTATGACCCACCCAAGTTGGGTGGTGTGCTGCTTTGCTGCATCGAATTGTAGTTAGACCACTTTGTCAAATATCGTACTGGTCTTGTCATCGTCCAGTAACAATCGACATTCTCTGTTCCGTTGGGACTGTAGCTTTAGCTCGTTTTGGTTGCTTTTGCCTTCCCCTCTTTGGTCTTTCCATAACCTTGAACCTTCCAAGTTGGAAGGCTGTCGGTTAGCGCTACGGAGATGTGTTGAAGCTAGGTCTCAGGACGTCGAATGTCTCAGTACTCTTGTCAGTTTTGTGTCTACTTATTGCACTTTCTGACTGTATATAGTATCATGTTACAGTGATGGAGAGTTACTCTTAACTCGTATCCATATTTCCTTTTCCTTTCAACAATTTCGTTTTTCCACATAAAATGAATGTCTGGATTCTACTAAACGTGCATAGGCCTTCACAAACTGGTGTTTTCGACTTGCAACTCCCCATTAAAATTGATGAAATGGCGTGCATGGCTTTTTTGTTCTGTCCAGGCCGCTACCAGTGCCCATGGCACCTCGATCAGTGTTAGCATTCCAGGCGACACAATATTTGACGAGACTATTTACGACAACACACTTCTCCCCGCGGAGTTTTAATCAAGAAGGGTATTCACCAGCATTCATAAAGCATCCAATAGTTAACAGGAAACATAGCACTTCACCATTCTCTGACCCTTGTGTAACTCTAATAGCATCTCCTCTGTATGGGAATTCTCTATGCTGATCAGAGTGACATCATTCAGGCATGGCAAACTGAACAAAAAATCACCCAAGGTTCTTATATTTCACTCGTCATCATTTCTTGGCGGTACACGCCTACCATTTGTCTGCTATATTTATAAATATGCAAGCCAAACCGTTTTACAACCACGGTTAATATTTGCTCCCCAGAGATCTTTACGTCTCATGGCAAGTCTTCACAAACGTGCATGATATAAGATGGTGGTGCTTGGAGCGAGCATTTCCCACTTTGTTTTTACAACATTAATATTCGCTTCCCACGGATCTTTACGTCTTGTTGCATGTCTTGAACAAGGCGAAAGATTATGTAGATGGTGTTTGCCTGTAGGATTTCTATCTCACAATCTTCCTGAATTCTTGTTGTTCTCTAAACACAGCAATCAGTAACTTGTTGTTCAGCATCAATCAATAATATTTTTTTTCTGCAAAGCAAACGCCCGCCGACTGCTGATTTTCAATGGATAATTTGTTCTCATTAATGTATACAGCTTGTAACACGAGGCAACGGTTTCATTGTTTTGTTTGTGCCTGTATGTTGCACACCTCTCGGAGTCATAGGAACGCCGTTTGCAACGACAATGAGCTATTCTGTGGCTCGTTAACCTCTTGTTCACACATGGACATACTGATTTTTGTCATACAAATTTCAAGTGTCCTTGTATTTCAGGCTGCAGCCCTTTGAATTCTACAAAGTGCGATCTCCAGGGGAAAGTATTCAAATTTGGAAAGACATTTCCATGAACATTAGACAGTCGCACTGCGAAGTACAGTAACAAGTACGATTTAGGTCGCAATTGATAGATTTTTTGAAGGGTGTTTGGGGGGGGGGGGGGTGCGGTATTGCATGCCCATGAAATCCCACAAGAACAATATAAGTATTTTACAAGAACTGAGTATGTCAGTACGCTGTTCAGAGTAAAAGAAAATAACTGATCACCTTACGTGTGCAACATGTCCGTGGTCATACTAGTTTTGGTATCTGTAAACTGAATGACAAGTACACAGTTTTATCGATGTGACTGCCTAGTGGAAAAATATACTGTCACAATGTCAGGATGCATCGATTTCCCGAGAAAGCTTGACCATGGCTCCCAGCTGTTTGCAATTCGTTTTTCTGTATTTATGGCGTATCTGTTGAGTTCCGCTGCTTGCACGCTCCTAGCTTCTCGCATCTACTTGTGACTTACGTGACAGTGCAAATGTTCGATGGTGCATTTCTCGGAGTGGCCCGTACATAGTTGCACAGACAATGCGTGCACTAGTAACAGCCATTACTAGGGTAGAATTTATTCTTCATTTCTTTTATACCAATCTTTTCGATGTTATTCTTGCGTACAGCATTTTACATCACAAGGAAAATTAGTCTCCGAGACTCATTGACTAAGATTTTTACCCAGACTACAGTGAGCGGAGCTCCAGAGCTCTCAAACCAACAACCATCAATAGCTAAAAATAAATATGCGCAGGTTGGCCAAAATTAAGACAATATTCGATTTTCACTAGTTTGAGGGAAAGACACAAACGGGAAAAGTCTGAAGATAAGGTTTTAGTTTTAGGGTGCGTTTGGTTGGTAGGATCTAGAACAGGATCGAACAGCTGGTGCACATGGAGCAGCCTCATGTCAACCAAACGGTACTCCAGAAACAGAGCACATTTTTGTGAAAAATGTGCGAAACTTTTTGGATTTTTCAAAATGCGTATGGGTCACCATGGTCACTTTGTACGGTACAACGAATCCAACCCAAAAGCGTATGCACGTGATCATTTGGGACCAATATCGATGTTCCCGCCAGGTTTCACTGTGATAAAGTGAAACTGCTCGGTCTGCTCCGGCCTCGAGCAGAACATGGTCTGGCCGACCCAGAACAGGTGCAGTCCCAACGAAACGCACTGTTTTGGTCAATCCTGTTCTCGTTCGTACCAACCAAACGCGCTCTTACTTTTTTTTCATTATTTTCTGATGTACACAGACTGAAGGAGAGGTTGCTGCGACTTCGGCTATATTTGGGGAACAATGAGACTGTTGAAGGAATGTTTGACGCCCAGAAAATAAATTTATACCAACAATGTTTCATTGCTATCAGGTTGGGCCTCATTTTCTTTGTGCTGTGCTGTCCACAAAGGACGAAACAGTTCTGTCCGCAGATAGAGTATTTCGCTCTTGCTCTTGTAGCGGTTGAGCACTCTCATGTGGGGTCTTTGCTGTTCGCTTTATGCAGAGCTCACTGACTTGTCAGTTTGAGCACTCTGGCAAGATACGTTCGGGTCTGGTTTAAATCTGGCTTTGGAAAATTTATTTTTCTTTGCTATCAGGTTCGGCCTCATTTTCTCTGTGCTGCGCTGATGAATCCGCAAAGGACGAAACAGTTCTGTCTGCAGATTGAGTACCAACAACAGCTAAACGCGTAACACTGGGAAGTGAAGGAACTAAAGAAAGGACAGCAGGTTGGTAACAGCTTGTGCGACCTGATTGACTAGGCAACTGCGCACAACGTCTGTATCAGTGGATGATATCGAGTTGAGTTTCATACAGCAGTTGATGCTGCATCCGAATCTCAAGCCATACTTTTGAACACTACATGTATTTGTATGAGCATGAGTAGGTTATAGGTAGGTGCACTAGTATGTTAGACTAGCCTACACACACACAAGTCACAGAACATTCTCAGTACCTGGTGCGAAGGATTCTTACCCTCCTAGACTAGTCTATATAAGGTAAAAGGCACCATCGAGCACATGCAGCACCCAAGCAGTGACTGCTACGGATTGTGTATCCGACACGCAAGCGTTCAAATCACACGCAATGAGCATGCAAGTGAATGTCTTGGCATAGTCCCTTTAGTACTGGGATCGACTGTTACTGCTTTGGAGTGCGTTGCTGACGCTATGCGAGTAATGACGCTGCTGTGCTATCGTTTCCAAACTCTGGTGCTGTTGAATCTAGTTCAAGATTGTTTCAATCTCTTGGCATTCGCAGGTAAGTTTCCTTTCCTACAAGTCGGCTATGATGTGCGATTTTAACTCACCTAAAGTACGCTGTTAGTAGTAGTAGTAGTAGTAGTAGTAGTAGTAGTAGTAGTAGTAGTAGTAGTAGTAGTAGTAGTAGTAGTAGTAGTAGTAGTAGTAGTAGTAGTAGTAGTAGTAGTAGTAGTAGTAGTAGTAGTTGTAGTAGTAGTAGTAGTAGTAGTAGTAGTAGTAGTAGTAGTAGTAGTAGTAGTAGTAGTAGTAGTAGTAGTAGTAGTAGTAGTAGTAGTAGTAGTAGTAGTAGTAGTAGTAGTAGTAGTAGTAGTAGTAGTAGTAGTAGTAGTAGTAGTAGTAGTAGTAGTAGTAGTAGTAGTAGTAGTAGTAGTAGTAGTAGTAGTAGTAGTAGTAGTAGTAGTAGTAGTAGTAGTAGTAGTAGTAGTAGTAGTAGTAGTAGTAGTAGTAGTAGTAGTAGTAGTAGTAGTAGTAGTAGTAGTAGTAGTAGTAGTAGTAGTAGTAGTAGTAGTAGTAGTAGTAGTAGTAGTAGTAGTAGTAGTAGTAGTAGTAGTAGTAGTAGTAGTAGTAGTAGTAGTAGTAGTAGTAGTAGTAGTAGTAGTAGTAGTAGTAGTAGTAGTAGTAGTAGTAGTAGTAGTAGTAGTAGTAGTAGTAGTAGTAGTAGTAGTAGTAGTAGTAGTAGTAGTAGTAGTAGTAGTAGTAGTAGTAGTAGTAGTAGTAGTAGTAGTAGTAGTAGTAGTAGTAGTAGTAGTAGTAGTAGTAGTAGTAGTAGTAGTAGTAGTAGTAGTAGTAGTAGTAGTAGTAGTAGTAGTAGTAGTAGTAGTAGTAGTAGTAGTAGTAGTAGTAGTAGTAGTAGTAGTAGTGTTCGTGCAATAGGGATGGACGATGCTGTTTCAATTGCTACCCAGGTCAAGTTGGGCGCTGCAAGAATTTTGGAAATTGTGATTTGCATGATGTTGGAGGATCAGAGGTGCCTCAAGGCCTTTCTGCTGGTGATCCGCCGGCCTGGAGTGGGCGAAGAGTGCAGCCTTCTCGATCGGGTGAGTCCGCTGCTGGCCGGACCGGTGGTGTGCCTCGCGAGGTACGGGCGACTTTGGTATCCAGGCCCCCGTCATCGGCCGCCGAACGCTCGGGTGCGGCACCGGCGCCTGAGGTCGCTGGGTCTTCCCAATCTTCTGTGTCTGCGACTGCGGTTCCGTGTGGGGAGTCACTACGGGTGGACTTGCCTGTTCCTGTGTGCTCCGGGATGGTTCCTGATTGCGCTGCCGCCCCTTCGCCCGTGGGTGCTTCTGCTGACCCCACTGCAGCTTCCCGGGTACCTGCGTCTGCAGCGCCGACCTCTGTGGGTCCCGGCTCGTCTCGACAGCCTCAGTTTGTTGATCTGCCACCCGAGAAATGTGATTCTCCAGAACCTGATGGCTTTTGGTCGTTGCCAACAGACGATATAATCATTTTAATGGACAAAACCCATGCAGAAATAGTCAAGTGGCAACGGAATCTATTTATCATACCTTTCGGGGATGAGGGTCGTCGGTTCGTCAAAGAACTAGCTCGCCTGATTGGTCTTTTCAGCGGCGGAACTCGCGACGGAGCTTTTGCATGGTCGGCTGTGGTCATTGCTTGCCATCTGATTTTGCAGCGGCCTTTTGTAGTATCCAATGCCTCTGACAACAAGAAATCGTTACGCAATCGTCTTGACTGGTGGATGTGCGGAGACATGGCGGCATTGCTGCGTGAGGCACGGTGCATTCAAGCCCATCTACCCAGATCAACACCTGGCAAAACAGCAGCTAATGGTCTGGATGACGTCGAGTTCGCAAAAATGGTATACAGCGACCGCATTGGAACAGCTGCTCACTACCTGGAGGATGATGGTGGTGGTGGCGTACTCCCGTTGGACAAGATTGTGGGTGGCAAGTCGGTACTGGAATTGTTGAGAGACAAGCATCCTGTTCCGGCTGATGCAGAACCAGAGATTCTACTCGATGATGAAGCCACAGTCCAGGAGAATGTGCTGTTTGATTCAATAACACCAGCTCAAATCCGCAAGACCTGCATGATTATGAAGGGGGCAGCGGGTCCGTCAGGCCTTGACTCCGCTGCCTGGCGTCGGATGGCCTCAATGTATACATCAGCTTCTGACGACCTGTGCTCGGCTCTGGCTCGTGCTGCCAAGCGTCTTTGCACTGAGGCAATTGAGCCGCGGGATCTCCGCTCATTCCTGGCAGCAAGGCTCATTCCATTGGATAAGCAGCCTGGGGTAAGGCCTATAGCCATCGGGGAGGTGTTTCGCCGCGTGATCGGGAAAGTGGTCATGTCGGTTATCGAGAGGGATGTGGCTGCGGTTACTGCTCCTCATCAGCTGTGCGTCGGCGTCCCGTCGGCTTGCGAGGTCGGGGTGCAGGCTTTGACCGGCCTCTATGACCGCGAGACGACTCAAGGTATTCTGCTGGTGGATGCGTCCAACGCCTTCAATTCTCTGAACAGGGCCGCGGCGCTACACAACATTCCAAGAATCTGTCCTGCCGCTGGGCGAATTTTCATTAACACCTACCAGGCCGACATCCCTCTATACCTCAATGGCGGAGAGGTCATTTATTCCCGGGAGGGTACATGCCAAGGGGATCCTCTTGCCATGGCGTTCTACGCTCTCGCGACTGTGCCCCTGGCATCTTGGCTGTCGCGTCGACTTCCAAGCACCAGCCAGATTTGGTACGCGGATGACGATGCCGCAGCCGGAGAGCTCCTGCCGCTGCGTGGGTATTGGGATTGCATCGTGGAGGAGGGGCCCCGGTATGGCTACCACCCCAATGCCATGAAGACGGTTTTACTCGTCCGTCCACATTTAATGGAAAGGGCCCAGGAGGTATTTGCCGGCACTGATGTCCGTATCCGGAGCGACGGCGTTCGTTACCTTGGCGGGGCCATTGGAGACCAACAGTTCCGAAAGAATTTTGTGAAGAGCCGTGTTGAGGAACTGTCCACATTGGTTAGGCGCCTTGCTGGTCTGGCTGTCACCCAGCCTCAGGCGGCCTTTCGCGTCTTCTCTGCCTCTCTGCAGTCCCGTTGGACCTATCTGCAGCGTGCAGTCTTTGTGGACCCTGTCCTGTATACGCCACTGGATGATGTCATCAACAAACATCTGCTGCCAGCATTGACAGGCCATCCTCTTGCGGCTGATGGTGTACTCCGTCAGCTCTTTGCAATGCCTGTGAGGAATGGAGGGCTGGCTATCCGCATTGGCAGTTTGCGTGCGGAGGCTGAGTACCTCCTTTGCCGGACGTCGATAATGCCCATGGTGGATTGCGTGCTGACTGGTGCTGTCGATGGTCCTGATGCTATCGACGGTCCTGTTGCCGATATCATCGCTGCCTCCAGGGGTTTGGCCACGCAGGCTCGCCGGGAACGCCGTGCGCAGCACAATGCTGCATTGGAGGAGATCAGGCCCGCTCTGACGGATGAGCAGCGCCTACTAGTGGATGTCGCGGGTGACGGCGGTGTGTCAACGTGGCTGGTTACGCCTCCATCGGCTTCATCTCCTTTAACTATATTCAACAAGTCTGATTTTCGAGACGCATTGTGCCTGAGGTATGGCCTGCCGCTTGATGGCATATCATTATCCTGTGTTTGTGGCCAAGACATGTCAGTTCATCACGCCCTCACGTGCCCAAGCGGGGGATACCCTACCCAGAGACATAATGAACTTCGCGACCTCCTAGCGGACGCACTCGCTAGTGTTGTTTGCGATGTCGAGATTGAGCCACCGCTGATGCCGCTGGGTGGTGAAGCCGTCTCTGGGGGCTCAGCTGACGGTGCTCGTGTGGATATACGGGCTCGTGGCTTCTGGACCAGGCAGCAAAACGCCTTTTTTGATGTACGGGTCACGCACCCAAGGCCGTCTTTGCTGTCTGGACCAGAAGTGTCGAGGCAGTTATCCCAACACGAGCGTCAGAAGAAACGTCAGTATTCCGATCGAATCAACCAGGTGGATCGAGGATCGTTCACTCCGCTTGTTTTCGCCACCAGTGGACAGTGTGCTCCCGAATGTGGCATCTTCCTCAAGACCCTCGCAACACAACTGCACCATAAGAACTCGGACATACCGTATCGTCTCATCATCAGCCACTTGCGCTCGAGAATCAGTCTATCTCTGATGCGGTGGCAGATTACTTGCTTCCGGGGGTCACGTGCATCATACCTACGCAGTGGATCCGGCATTGGCCGACATTGCCGACATTGCTTTGTAACGGAGTGCCGTACATTGGCTCATATGCCGCGCTGACGGGCATCAATGGACTTGCCATAATATTGTCATTGGTTTCATTCTGTCTCAGAGTGTTCTGTTGTATTTGTTTTCGTTTTAAAAGCGTTTGAGCGGTTGGGTGAATGGAAACGTCACCGTACTGGTAGTAGCGATGCTTGGATGGTGTTTGCGGGTTTGCTTTTTGTTTTTGTATTCCCTAGTTGGCTTGATTCTTTTATTTTATTTTATTTTCTGATTGGATTTTCCTATTTATTTGATTTGATTTTTCTTGAATGGTTTTGTCACCATTGCTTTTCTTGCTTGCGCTTTTCAGTTTCTTCTTTCTGATACCCGGTTTGTTTTCAAATAAAAGCGAAGTTCAGTAGTAGTAGTAGTAGTAGTAGTAGTAGTAGTAGTAGTAGTAGTAGTAGTAGTAGTAGTAGTAGTAGTAGTAGTAGTAGTAGTAGTAGTAGTAGTAGTAGTAGTAGTAGTAGTAGTAGTAGTAGTAGTAGTAGTAGTAGTAGTAGTAGTAGTAGTAGTAGTAGTAGTAGTAGTAGTAGTAGTAGTAGTAGTAGTAGTAGTAGTAGTAGTAGTAGTAGTAGTAGTAGTAGTAGTAGTAGTAGTAGTAGTAGTAGTAGTAGTAGTAGTAGTAGTAGTAGTAGTAGTAGTAGTAGTAGTAGTAGTAGTAGTAGTAGTAGTAGTAGTAGTAGTAGTAGTAGTAGTAGTAGTAGTAGTAGTAGTAGTAGTAGTAGTAGTAGTAGTAGTAGTAGTAGTAGTAGTAGTAGTAGTAGTAGTAGTAGTAGTAGTAGTAGTAGTAGTAGTAGTAGTAGTAGTAGTAGTAGTAGTAGATGTTATTTTTTTACTAGGGGAGTCCCAACAGGCGTTGCCTTTTTACTGGGAACCCTCGGTGAATTTTTACGATGTTTACATACAGAGTAAGAGACGGGGCCTGACGGCAGTCAGTGTGAAGAGGATTCCATCTGTCTGCCGCCTGGGTGTCAAGTCTCGTATATTCAGCCGGTCTGATCAAATTGTGTTTCCACCCCATGATTGCACTGCATTGGCTATCGTCCTATTAAATTATGTTATATTACAGTATTACCGTTCCCTTCAGTCGTCTCCACCTTTTGTACTGTGATGCCTTCGATTGATAATTATGGATACTGCTGTCTGTTTGTTAGCAATGTAGCACAGTGATACGCTAAAATAGCTTGCCAGATATGCGTACAATCACATGTTTATAGAAAAAGCTAAAGGTATTTGTCCCAAGTTCCCACTCTTTTGCGCAAGTTACATGAATGAATCAAGCTAAACATTACACGGAGGTGACACACCATCCGTGGCTATGCAAGCTGTTGATAAATTACTTTCCTATAGCTTTGCGACAAGGCTAGAATGCAGGAATGCACCACGTCTAAACATTGGTCCTCAATTTTTAATCCTGACATTGGTTGAAAGAATGATTTGTGTTTGAAACAATGCACTGACTGTTTCGCATGCAGAACAATCTCACTGCATTTTTATTCGAGTCAAAAGCCTTGGCCAACAGAATGAGCATGTCGTGGACGAAACGAATCTGATGATAGCGCCATAGCGCTTTGTACTGCCTATCTACCCATTACAATTGAAGATCAGCAAAGCTGCGAAGCAACGACAATGGGTTCTTGCTCAGTGTGCAAAAATCAAAGCGTCTCCTTCTGCCCGAGTGCATGTGTCTGCATTGGTTTCTCAAGCTTTTAACTTCTGACTTGCACCTCCTTTCAGGCATGAACAAGACACACCGAATGATAAACTGCTCGCGACCTCTCGATAGTGAGTGTCAAAGCGTCCCAACAGACGGTACGTAGTTGTATCGACAATAACTTAATGTGAGTTGGAGTGGAAGTACACTGGTAAAAGCAGTACCAGACTCATATTCATGAGCAATCCAATTATATTGTGTCACTCTAGTTCTTCCCCGTCACCTATTAGTGAGCATTCCATGGATTTAGTTTTGCATGATGTCAATAGCCCAGACCATCGATGGGGAACGCATGCCATTGGACAATCAACCGAAATTGGATTGACCAGTTCGACGATAATAGCTTCCCGAATCTTGGCACTCTGTAGATCTTTCTATAATATATGTCCATAAGTGGATTTCCATTAATGAAAGTGCGTTCCCAACTAAGTGCATACCCAACTGTTTCCCCTGCCTTGACCCATGACCACATCACAGAGACAATAAGTCTGATAATGATCGAAATGGATTATAATACTTTTTTTTCGAAGTGAGATCAAGGCACAGTGCTAAATATGACAAGTCATTCCGCTCAACGTGACACAAAACGCAAACGTCAACACCCTATAATAAGTATTATTATGCGAGTGCTCAACTACCACTAGAGCAGGGGCGGTTAGGGAACAACAGTTTCTTTCTTTGTGGACTTATTAGCGGAACAGCGGGAAAATGGGGTCGACTATTTGCACATAACTGTACAATCGTGCTGGAATGAAAGATACAGAGGGTTACAAAGGTATTTGGCATTTGGCCACAGAGGAAACCTAAATTCACAAGTAGTTTATGATTGGGGTTGCTAAAAAGATCTCGTATATTGACTAGCGCCATTTTAACTATTCACATTGTTTTCTGGCTTATGGTCCTGGGCAGCGACTGGAATCGGAGTAGGAGTATTCTTCGCAGTGGTTGTCATTGCGTTAATACTTGCGATCGTCCTGTGGAAGAAGAAGATTTTGGTGATGCCCGAGTGCCTATCAAAAAGGATCGAAGGTGAGCTTCCGTTGGTATACTTTAATGTAATTGGTAATTTGTATTTCGATTTTCAAAATTGATGTTGAATTCCAAGTGAAGAGTTTTAACAAGAAAAAGTTAATATAACGAAATAGAGATTGCGACTTCGGCGATGATTTTGTTTAGGAATGCTTTTGCTCCCACACTGGAGCTCGCGCTATTCCGCCGACGACTTGACACTTGACTGACTCACGACTGCCATCCAGAGAACAAGAGGAGTCCATCGAACCTTCGACTCGGCAAACCTGCAGTGTTTCGGGGAATTCACCCCTCATCCCCTTCGAGCCTCGCCCGGCCAGAGCTGGTGCAGGCACTGCGGAAGCACGGCGTTGGAGGGAAGCCCGTCACTGACACCGGTACGTCGTGGATTAATGACTCTAAGCTAGATAGCCTTGCTAACACTATCCAGGCCTTGGCGGGGGAGATTGCCTCCATGAGGGAGGACAGGGATAGCATAATTTTGTCCTTGAAGCTGGAAATTTCGGAGCTGAAGGGGGAAGTGCAACAGCTTCACCAGCAGCAGTACAATGGTTCATCCAAGCCCGTACACTGCGACACTCCAGACATGCAATCCCGTTGTACTCGTACAGTGAGTACGAATAGCACACAGCCAGAAGAGGATGCACGCACTCTACACAGCAGGTCAACTAGCACTAGCAGGGCCACCGTACCTAACACCAACCACATGGAACGCAGGAACATACCCGTACACACTGGTAGAAATGCAACAACTGGGGGCGCACTTACAACAGCAGGCGCCGGTGGTGCACCAGTACAGCCCACATGTACTCAGGGTGTTGCTGGGAGCACAGAAGGCGATCCCCATCAGAACAACTGGCAAGAACAGCGGCGAAGGAGCAATAAATCAGCGGCCCACAGCGATCCCATTGCCCGGGCAACAAAATCCAAAGTTGTGTCTGTCTACAGAAAAATGGCCACAGAAAACCCCAACCCCAACACACTCACTGGCACACATCTTCCCAAGCGATGTGCCTTCTTTGTCGGGAATGTTAGCCCTGGAAGTAAGGCACAGTCAATTGTCACCTGGTGCGCTGATAGGGGCGTTGATGTATACGCATGCACAATTGCCGAAACCCAATACTTTGGTACCTGCTATGCACGCGTTTCTGTCGCGGAAGAGTTTGAGCAAACGCTGCTTGACAAGGAATTCTGGCCCGACACCATTGCGCACACCGTCCGCAAATGGCGCTATGCCGACTCCGCTAGCAAGTGATGGGTCCTCCGTCACCTAGCCAACAGCTAAATCCTCTTGCCCAACCCTTTGTGCCCCACGCAAGTTCATCACACCCTTCCCCTCATTGCGTTACATATTCTTCTATATCTAGTGGTCATATTCCACTTGCACCACCATTCCTTCCTGATTCTGGACGACAAACTACTAAAACTCCTAATCAACAGCAGCTCCACGACGCCCCCTACCACAAACTAACGTCGGGCTTCACCCCGTTGAGCGCTCATGCTTTCCCGTTTTTCCCGGACCACGCACATTCCATTAACATTGTAACTATCAACTGTCGCTCTGTAACAAACAAACTTCCGGAATTGTACGCAATATGTCATGCCAACAAGCCCACCATAATATGTTTAACAGAAACCTGGCTAAGCCCGTCACTTTTATTCAGTGTTCCAGGCTACACATGCTTCCGTAAAGACAGATCTACACATAAGAACCTGAGATCAAACCTACGTGGCTATGGTGGCGTGGCCATTCTCATACGTGATGGGACATTTCCACATTGCACCCGTCGCCATGACCTTGATTCTCCCCAAAGCGAGGCCTTATGGCTTGAGCTTGGTGCACCGGCAGGTCTCCGGGCCAATCCGCTACTCATTTGCTGTCATTACCGCCCCCCTTCACAATCCCTTCTTGATATCACCTCCTTTTGCGACATACTTACCGACACGCTGTGTTCCTTGGACCTCTCTTTATTTGATGTTTTTCTTACCGGTGACTACAATGCCCACAATTCTGACTGGTGGAGTGGTGACACCACATCGCGTGCTGGTACGGAGCTATCACACGTGTTCTCTAGCTTTGGCCTCCAGCAGCTTGTCAATTTCCCCACCCGTGTCGCTCCGAATGGAAGACTGTCCTGTCTGGACTTGCTTGCTACGAACCGCCCCCTCTCTGTACGCTCTGTTGATGATGCTGCCCCGCTTGCTGCATCGGATCATTTGCAAGTCATTACAACGCTAGCCTACAACATTGCCACTGCTAACACCTCTTACAACTGCTCTCAGACTCCTACCCCTCCGCGACATGCCTTCCGCAAGGTTACACCCTCCACTTGGTCAATCATCAACTCTGCACTTTTTGCCTGTGACTGGCATCTTTTATTCACCTCCACTACTGTTGATGAAGCTGTGGAGAAGTTCACCACAGTTCTTGATGACGTGCTCTCCTTCTATGTGCCACAATACGGAGCAAGACCCGCTACACCCAAACATGGCAGCCACCACCCTCGTCAGTCCAGCCGTAACCCCAAGATCCCTTGGCTCGACAAAGATCTCCAAGGTGCAATTAAACTCAAATACGACTACTATAGCTTAAGTAAGAAGTACTCCACCTATGCTAATATTTCTTTATACAAAAAACAGCGCAATCTGGTGAAGTCATTGTCACGTTCTAAGTATCGAGCATATTTACGTTCGCTCACTACCACCCTATCTCACCCCTCTTCCAGGCCTAACCTGTATACCTTTGTTCGCACTCAAAGGACAACTAGTACACGTCAAGACATACCACCGTTATTAGCTTCCAATGGTTCGATGGTGACTGACCCCAAGTCTATAGCTAATACTCTCAACACGCAATTCACATCAGCTGGTATTCCAGACGACCATTCCTCTCCAATACCACCTCTGCAGCGTTCTGCGACTGTGTCTTCTGATCTGTGCTCTATACATACCACCACATCATCTGTTCGCAGCTACCTAAAAAGACTAAAAAGCAACAAAAGCCCTGGTCCTGATGCCCTACCAAATGAAGTTCTCAAAGTTCTGGCTCCATCTCTGGCGTACCCACTGTGCCTTATATTCAACCTTTCCTACTCCTCCGGCGTATTTCCTGATCGTTGGAAGATCGCTAAGGTCACGCCCATCTACAAGTGTAAAGGCTCCCGATCACAAGCCTCAAACTATCGTCCAATATCTCTTCTCTGCTCCCTTTCAAAAGTATGTGAAAAGGTATTTTACGACCAGTTGTATTGCCACATTTCACCATGCCTTAGCCCTTCCCAATCTGGCTTTCGGCGCAACGACTCAACCTCTGACCAACTAGCTCGTCTAGTACAAGACATTGCCACCCTTCGTGATGCTCGACACCATATTGCTCTCTGTTTCTTTGACTTGGCAAAGGCCTTTGATACTGTCTGGCATCGTGGCCTCCTTGCCAAGCTACATATTGTCTTTGGTGTGTCTGGCCCTCCTCTGTCCTGGCTGGAGTCCTATCTGAGTAGCCGATCACAGTTTGTTTCTGCCCTCTCCATCAACTCTGATCCTCTACCAGTGTCTTCTGGAGTTCCCCAAGGCTCCATACTTGGACCTCTTTTGTTCGTAGCATACGTAAATGATTTACCCTCTATAGACCCAGGTGTCTCGTTATTTGCTGATGATACAACCCTACTGTCAGCATCCTCGTCCCCAGCGGCTCTTGTACCTCGAGTGTCGGCTCAGATATGCAGTGTCCTACGCTGGATGCAAACATGGCGACTTAGACCCAACCTGACTAAAACCGAAATAATGTTCCTTCCCCCAATCTCATCCATGTCACTTTTACACCATCCTGATTTCCCAGAACCCATAAAGGTTGTTTCCAACCATAAACACCTGGGAATAATGCTTGATGATCGTCTCTCTTGGTCTTTCCATATTGATGCTCTTTGCAGCCGTTCAAGCTCTGCCCTAGGTGTTATACGTCCCCATTGTTTCCATCTTCCTTTCAAATGTAAAATTTTGTTTTACAAACTGTACATCCTGCCTCTTTTCATGTACGCTGCTGTTAGCTGGTGTGGCTTGTCCTCGGTTCTCGCTGAGCATCTCGAAATCCACCATAGAAAACTTCTTCGTATCCTGTTTAGTCTACCCCCTCTCTACTCTTCTGCTTCCCTGTATGTCCTTGCAAATGCTTGCCCACTGTCGACCCACCGTCAAAAATTAATTTGCACTTTTGCTCACAAATTTAAACTAGCTCTACATCCTCCTCATCTTAACGTGTATAACTGGTTCCGAATCACAGATGGCTCCCAGACAAGATGCTCTGTTGCCCTCCCCTTGGCTAAAACGTCCTCCCTTGTACGCTCTCCACTCTTTGTTGCTTACTCTGCTTGGCTTGCGCTGCCCGCTACTACGCGCAATGCCAGTACCCTGGACGCATTTAAATCTGCTCACTAGATTCACCATCACCTGTCCCTCCCATGCTTCTCCGTCTTGACCATTACTTTTCTTCTTTTATTCACCATGGTTGGTTAACACCCACATCTCCCGTACTGGCTGATTTTCTTCTCATGCCATGAGGTGTTGTCTATAATAATAATAATAATCAATTGAGCTTCAGTAGGCTGAGGAAGATTGTGCCTGAATAGCACCACTTATAATAGTGCTGTCCAGGCACAAACATCAGCAGGAATACAAACTTACAGAAACACTCCATTTCCAGCGCGACACACACCTCGTGAACACCAGATGGCACCGTGAGTCAGTTATCGCTCCTGGACGGTGAGAACAGACGTAGATGACCTTATAATTATAAGTAGTGCTCCTCATGCACAATCTTCCTCAGCCTACTCAAGCCCAACTGATGAGGGGTGAATTCCCCAAAACACTGTGTATTGAGCAGGGAGTGGTGCGTTCTTGCAGGTTTGCCGAGTCGAAGGTTCGATGGACTTCTCTTGTTTACTGGATGGCAGTCGTGAGTCAGTCAAGTGTCAAGTCGTTGGCGGAATAGCGCGAGCTCCAGTGCGGCAGCAAACCCATTCCTAAGTAACTGTTAGTCAAAGTAATCCACGAGGATGCAATAACCTGGATATACATGTGAGGAGTTTTACGGACGCCGACTCCAAATATTATCATATTCCTAATGCTGCTCTACTTTCCTTCTCAGTGGTCTACTGTCACTTGTGTATGCAGAACTTACCTTAGCTGGCAGTATGGTGCTTGCGAATGTGCGCGGAGCCGGTAAAGTCGTGTTGGGACCTGACGTGGAGGTATGTACACTATGTCTCATTGAAGCCTTTAGCCTGAAGAGAGTGGTCTCGCATCTATGTCACGTGACTGAAATTTACAAAAGAAGCGATTATGGGATGTGGACATTGGAACCAAAATGGCCTACATTATGTAACCCATACGTCGAAGTACAGTTGTGGCAAGTGAAATCTGATACTTGCCATAGGGGACCGCGCCTCAAATGGACATCAATGATGTAATGCACTGCACCTTATTTGTACTATAGAGCCGTATGCATCCCAAACAGGTCGAAAGGTCACAGCTTAGATACACACAGTTCACAAATATGGTACACATAAGGAGTATTGGTATCCAATTCCCATTCCTTTTTGGCAGCACCTTTTGAACCTTGACTGTGATGAGAACGAATTCTGTCATCGGACAGATAAAGTTGTATGCAGCACAGGTACTGTACGTATGCAGGGCTGCAGAGGCTGCAGGATGCACGGTGCAGTCCCTTATGCCAAGTGTCGGGTTTCACTTGCCACAACTGTAGATCAGGTGGTTGAGTGGAGTTAGAACCAACATGGCTGCGCTGCAAGGTCATGTGACAGATATGAAACCACTCTATTGGTGCATTGTCTTTTTAGTTTGATATCAGGTCTTGTATTCATGGGCCTGGCTTATGTGGATACATTAAATGTGAAGTAAATCAAAGCAACAACAATAATAACAAATATTTGGCAACAGAGCCTTCACTACATGCCTGGAAGTATTTACTATGCAGATTGCTCAGTTGGCCCTCTGGTTAGTTGAAATATGGAGCGTGAAATAATTACGCTGTTTGCATGGCAGTAGTGGAAACATTAAGCTTACGTTGGTTGATGTCAGTGTCCCAGTAATTCCGTCTGGGTTCCTCGCACAATTGTATGTTTTTCTTTATGTCGGCCCCTCCTGCGCAGAGACAGCAGCAAGACGACCATGGTGTTGCAGTCAACATTGGCGACGGCTCATATGCAGATACTGGGGCAAACCTTTGCACACAGGAGAATGGATATGATGTGATTGGCGCCGCTAGTTCCCTCAAGGCTCGAAACGCGACCACTTCACAAAAGCAAGTACGTAACCTTAAAAGCAAAACCTGTAAACTGTTACATTACTAGTGCGTCATAATGCAATGACAAACCTTTTTCTGTTTTTCTTTGTAGACTAAGAGACAGTAGTCTTCTATTTGTCAGTGCAGGCATGTACTTTACGTAACCCGTGGTGATTTGCGTATTATTATTTTATTATTTTGTTTTACATCGGAAGCTCAACAGTGCAGCTGCACAAATATGAAGAGGTACATGTATTCCATGCTTTTTGTTTTTGTTCCTGCCGCACGTTATGAAAAAGCAAGTGACAAAACGACATACTGTTCAAGCTGAGTTCATGTATGCCAACGCAGCTGAACCAGCCACAGCAAGTCAAGCCGGGTTGGTTGAGGAACATTATGAGAACGGGTGCGCTACGCTGAAGGTACATGTACTGAGTTTAAAAAAAAGTATGTCCATGAGTACATGCGGCAAAGGTGCCGTAATCGGGGATTCACACGACGGGCAAACTCACGTGTGTTGTACTCTTTTTGCTCGTTAGACCCTAGCGCGTACAAAATCTTGGTAAACTCGATCGGGGTCCTAGGCCCACGTTTGTGCTTTGCGCGCGTGTAAAACAGTGAGCGTGCTTAGGGCCTATCCACACTATGTAATAAAAACGGCGTGCCGTTTCAGAGTACGTGACGTACACGCGATGCTCTGTCCACACTGCACTCTGTCACCAGTGTAACTACGTCGTGTACCTGTTCATATTTTCTCTATTGCACAATGTTTGTAGCGCGTAGACCAGGAAAGGACTCCCTGGCTTGGTCTAGACCTACCCAGCTAGCTACAAAACAAGTGGCGGCCCAGCGGTGGCAGCACTGACGCCGAGCTCAAGGAATATCACCCTGAACTCTGTTCCAGGTGCGGAAATTTGGCAACCGTGTGACTCTCGCGGCACCGCAGCGCCAAGGTCGAGGCCGGCTGTAGCATCGCTTGACGAACCAGTGTTGGTGGCCGCCGTGTATTTCCAGTAAAACTCCCTGGCTTTGGCCTTCATGTTGTCAATTTTGGTCACAAGAGGGTTCTGCTTCCTCTCCAAACAATTCTTTCAAATCAGTGCTAGATCAAATTTTCAGTGAATTGTCCGAGTCTCGCTACTACACCTTCCTCTTCATCAGACCCCCGGGATTTCTCTGCATGTCCAGCCATGACTGTATCAATGTCGCCTCCGAGTGGTCGCTGAAACGGACGTGTGGCAACTCCAAAGCGAAAACAAGCGGCAGCTGGAAACAGCAAGAAAAAACTGTGATCCACAAACTCCATCGAGGCTCACACAACAAACACTACGAAAACGGCACGTAGATGAGAAACGTGCTTTGTACAGGGGTCCACGACTCACGTTCCGCGTGAATCCCACGTTTTCCGTTTTCGGCCATTTTTCGTCACTCACCTTGGCAACAAGCATGTTTACGGCGTGTTTACGTGGTTTTCTACCTAGTCTGGACAGGCCCTAACGTATGGTACTCAAGTTGATGAGTATACAGATGCGTGCGAGATTTGCACGGGTCTGTTGAATCCGATGGACAGCTGATCCACTTTTATACAAACGTGTTTTTTTATCAAGAGTTTGCACGCGCTAGGGTCACACGAGTACAAAGAGTACCACACACGTGAGTTTACGCGTGTTGTGAATCCCCCATAAGTGAAGTATTCCCGAGGATAATTAGAATGTCATCTTTACGGGATCGATGTCTCATATCATGCTAGAACATGGAAGCATGCACTTGCTTGGAGGGTGAAGTGCAGAAAGCCGAACATAGAACTGAAAAAATGTACGTTTGTAAATCGGATGGAATATCTATAAAATCAGTGATCTGGCTCAACGTTATGAACAAACGTGCAATCCCACTTGACTATTAAACCGTACAGATCATATCGCAACTTTGGCCGTACTGAACAGCAAGCCATCTATAGAGGCTTGAGTGATCAAAATGAAAAGGCCGAACACCCCTTATTCTGCGGACCTGGGTTGTAAAGCTCCTCGCCGTTCCGCGTCCAAGTTATTACAACAGGTGTGATTGCTCTGTTGATGTAGTCTGCATTCATTATTATTCTGGTACTGTGACTACGTGTAGTTTCGTGCAGCTGAACAAGGCCAGTACAGTTATGCAGCTGACCAGGGCCAGTACAGTTGTGCGTCTGAAGGGACCATACAGGCATCGCTGGCTGACAACGTGTACAGCAATGTTGCGGAAGGACCGCTAGTTGCCTCACTGGATGAGAGCCAGTATGACAATGCAGCCCCAGTGCAGCAACTACAGACCTCATCTGCAGTAAGTGATAGGGATAAATAGGGATGTTTAGGGAGGAATGAATTGCTGTAGGCGCAGGATCGTGCGCTTATCCAGCGGAAGTGACATTTGATAGACTTCTGGTGTGGCCTGGAAGCCCCCGGTGAGTTAGTCGGGTGTTAAATCAGGGGCGCAGGAACAAAATGTCCAACTTCTGAGAAATCTAATTTAGGTATAGCTTTTGAACATCAACATTCTCAGCTTGGACACCCTTTACACAAAGTACAAGTACGTGCAGTCGTCCTGTGGATCCAAATTGTACCCCCACTTCTTATGTCTACTGCTGTTGGAAACTGTCGTTCGTGCATGTTTGCGTTACCGTTAGTCTTTGCTTCCGCCGCTTATAGTACATGTACCAGGGGGTACATGTACTTGCGATTGGTAGTAATATTCGAGTAGGTCTGCAAAGGGAAGGGCTTCTGGCTAGAATGACATTACAATACAATCAAGATTATCCACCATGCACCTGCTACTTGTAAATACCGACGTGAAAAGTCGCTTCATATTATAATATCTGTAAAGAGAAAGACCACTACTACCAACGCATATGGCCGATTGGTTTGCAGGCCTGCCTGCGAATCATGAGGTCCCGAGTTCGAGACCCGCGCTGGCAGCAGGGAGCGTGTAAAAAAGACTTTTTACGCGTGTTGAACTGCGCCGACACCCACGGTCAACTGGGTACTCACAGCTCGAGTGAGGATAACAAGGATGCAGTTTACAGGGTTATGGGCCGTTACACGCCCGATTGGTTGAGAGACTCACCTCCTCTCCCCTGACTCACTTGTGAGGTCTGCATTCGCCACTAAGGTGTAAAGGCATAGTGGTGGCCTGCGGAAGCGAAGGCTATAGCTTGTGTGTTTCTGAACATTCAAGTGATGCTAACGCGGATCCCGCGAATATTATTATATAAAGAGAAAGACCAAGGAACTACAAGTTACGCTATACTGTCAGTGTCGTGAAATGTCATCGCATGAGCTGATTGTTTAGTAACTGGTGGTGTTAGTGGACAGTATAGCGTAACTTGGAGTTCCTTGATCTTTCTCTTTATATAAATTAAACCTTGAATCTCCATTTGAGTCCATATTATAATAATCATTCTTAAATATTTTTGCCACCTTGCATCAGGATGGACGTGATGTTAGCACTTACGATGTGCCATTGGGCCTTTATCCCGAGACTTCAGGAAGCCCATCAACATACGACAACACACTGTTCCAAACAGAGGTAAGTTGGTTAAAGGAAGTTCGTCTTCACCCCAGATATGCTAGCGCTGAGTGGTTCATCACGCCAGATATTCCCGATTTGAGAGGAAAGTGACCAATTTCTAGGGATGAATGGCACGGAGTTTATTATGGTTAGTTTATAAGTCCAAGGATGAGGGACACGCATACCTAAATGCGTAAATAAGCGCTAATAAAATTAGTTACGGATGTTGTAGATTTCGGCAGGCATGATACTCGTTTAAGCTTCATTTATTTGTGCCGTGGCATTTTTGAACATTCACTTGTATGCTGTGCTAGGAAAGAACCTGAAGTGACGTAGCCATTTTGTGTTTGACGGATGATTGGATTAATGCAGGTTTAGAGCACTACCTGCTTTCAAACACCATTAGCAAGATATACGCGCTTTAACTAGGATTTTTCGTTTTGTCAATATTTTTTTGGCAGGTGCCGCCTGGTGGTGGAAAAATGGCTGAAGAAGCTCTTTACGACAATCCACTTCCCCCACAGTTCCTTTGCGTAGCACGAGAAGCGTGAATCTGTAGGGAATTGGTGCCATGCGAAATGAGTAATCCATCTTCCTAACTTGGAACTTGGACTTTCTCTTAGCACAACTCTAATTTCTGCAATATGGACCCCATGCATAATCTTTGGCTATTTTCACTGAATTTTATTAAACATTTGCATTGGTTTTATTGTAAAGAAAATACTGTCACATATCGAACCCTTACTTATCAGATTTTGAGTACCCATTTAAATAATTTCAAATTTGTTTGGCCCATATCAATGCCTTATACATTCTGCAAATGTCCCTCCCCGAGATGTAAAGAACAGAGCGTTTATTTCACCTGTCGTGCAGCCAACATCAATTCGCATCAACTAATGGTTCAAAACTCCTATTTGCATTGCGCGTATCATCGTTTGAGGCATTTCCACTTGGTTGTACCTCTTCTTCGTATATTCCAAAACCTTTTGTGTACTTGTCTGATTTCATGCGAGTCTATATTTTCAATAATCATGGTCGTATGCTTCGAAAGTAATATTTTACCACGCTTGCGTTGCTCTCAGGTTTGGTATAAAGCTCCCATGCTTTACAGCCGAGTAATAATAAAAGATCAATACACATTTCCAGGACTTTGTTCACATGCGTATCTCCAAACGAAGGTTCTGTCTGGTCAATGCTGTTGTATTCTGGCTCTTTCGTCTCATTCTATGATTCATAACCTCCAACATTTAATCATCAAAAACATAATGTGAAATCAATCCATGTGCATGAATAAGCAAAGTAATAAATATGCCTCGGTATCATCGCAATTTCCAGATACATTGTCAAGCAAAGAAAGACTACGAACGGTTACAAAATACTTCAAAAGGATTTGTATGGATATTCAGTATGCAGAAACAGCCATGAATCGTAATCCATTTCCGGGAGAATGGATTATATGAGGTACAATAAAATATTGAAAATGACTTTGAATTATATAGATTCGGAAAACACCCTAAATACTTGGCCTGATGAGGCTTCATGATAAAACGAGCCACAAAAGGCTTTCCAGGTACCTTCGTTAGCGGTTTATAGTAATGACAGTATTAAATGACAAATGACAATTCATCTACGTTTTGCAAATAGGATAGGAGTGAATGTTGGCAATATGACAAATTTTTGTTAACTAACCTAGGAATATTGTTCCTCTGATTCTGCTTAGCCGCCAACTCTAGTCTCGTTAGGTGTGACCTTCTTGCCAGGCATGTGCATAGAGTCATACTCGCCAAATCCAGCTAGCTCACATATTTTATATTCCCCGTTGCCATCCTTACTCTCCGGAGTGTTATCAACAAGTTCGAAATTGCTTCCCTCCGAATCTCCTGACTCTCCCTGTTGCTCACGATGGTTGTGCCTGATTCGATGGAAACGTCTGAGGATTACTGCCGCCCCAATAGCACCCACCACCACTCCCCCAATACCAACGCCCAGAACCGTGCTCATGTTCGGAGAAGACGTAATACACACCGCCTTTGTGTCTGGAAAACAGAGAGCACAAACGAAAACCATGAATACAGCACTCGTCTAGCTTTGAATCTCTGACTACCCACAGAGGTGGCAAGCAGCACTCCAACCAAAGTGCGTGGCTTGGGAATGTAGAAGAAAATTCTGGACAGGAAAACCCTTCGAAACCTAATTTGTCATAAACGGGTTCCATGCATTACGGTACTATTGAGCACTGTATATTACACGTTATGCCACATTGATTCCTTCCAACGGCTTCTGACAGCTTGTTGAGGGTGCAGATTTGAGTGCGACTTGATATTTGCATTACAAAACATATTGTGTGCGCTCCCCTGTACATCCCCCTAAGGGGAAGGCACGAATGATAGTTTGGAAACGTTTAAAAAATAATGTTGATGAAGAAACTGAGCAGCGTAATTTTTCCCAGCGTTCTATATTAAATTTTGATATTCGCATCACTAGTTTGCAGCATCATGAGAGCATCCACTTATTTAGCATAGTACTAAACTAACCAACTGCTCATATGCGAGCTCGCGCACCATTAGAAACCTAAAGAACATGGTAAAAGTGGAACATAGGTCTGCTCTGCATTTCATTCCACCGTCATTCAAAATCATTTGACGCCCTAAACAATGTGGAAATAACCAAATTTGCCTACCTCGTCTAGGGCTAGGCTTCGCATTGAGGGGCGCTAGGAGAACTAACCACAGAAGCACTGAAAATAACGTAAGAGCCATTATTTCTGAAGTTGAAGATACAATCTAACATCAGCGGAGACGCTACAGGTTATACAAGGCCGACTCGATCTTCTTGCAGCAGTCACCAAAGGCTTCAACTCAACCTTCAAAATGCATACTCTACAGGTATAATTTGCAGAGACATATCGTTTACATGATTAGGGTTCTCATTAGGTACGGGCCACAATCAAGGCTTTCTTTGACACATCTATTCTTGAGCAAAATGTTGTTCAAAGGTGTTGTGCGTACTCGGAAGCTATGCAGTAGATGTGTATGATACACTCAGAGAAATTGCGTGCACATGAGTATGCTAGGGCCGGTGGCAAGGCGACTCTAGCAACACATAAGATGCCACTCTGCACCTATGGGAAGCAGCGCTTCTTTATCCATGTCATCGGATTTATCTGGACAGAACTGAAGTTATCACGCGAGATACACGCAAGACTAACACACGCGCACCGGAATCACGGCGATCACTAGACATTATGTTGGGGTTTAAGTCTCCAGGTTTTTCCCGCTTCGGGAAGTCAAGCAAACCGAAAAAGGATGTGAACGTACTATATTCATTTCACATGTGCAGTGTTATCGTACCGGTGCTCCTTTGTAAGAAACTAACCCAACGTCATGGCGACGTTCAGTTCAACTATATACACGCGTACACTGAGGTGCATGTGTTCCGTTCGTATGCAGCCATGCCTACTTTCATGTTCTGAAAGACTACAATACATCAACCCTCCCTAGCAGCCGTGACATTAAAATGGCAAAGAATAGAAGTATCTCATCCCTAGCTACACAGGTTGTCACCTCCACTCCATTGAAGACTGGCTTTGTCATTCAGCCCATGGAAACCAGCTGTTTACCAGTGAAGCGATCAGGCAGTGTAGCTCACGCTCCACTGGAATCTACATCACTACCGCTTTGAGCTTCATCAAAATCATCTACACAGGATACAGGTTCTGGTTCGGTAGAAGGCACACAGCTGTCGTTTAGGGTAACGAACACAGAGGGTATCTTCAAAGCGGAAAGTCATGCGTCGTTTCTTGTTAAAGCCAGTTCAGCAGTCTAAGACTGTGCTAGTTGAATCTTCTCGTGTAGTTTTCCGCGTATTAGGCAATTTCAATTCAGTGTACATCCTGCTCCCACCATCTCAGTATTTCTAGACAGGCTGTGTAGATTTGACGGTGGCGTGTGTTAATAAGTCCTTTGGGAAATGTCGAACGGTCGCTTCTGGGATGACGACAACGCTATATTGACGTTTTGCAGCATCGCTGGACGTACGCTTGGATCCGTGGTTCGAGGTCTGGTGGTTTCAGTAAATTTCTTCATACTTTGCCTTTTTAACTTCCTCAAGCTCATGAACATGTGAACGTGTCAGGGAAGTGAACTGCCTGCCAAGAGACAAATGACAACCCCACCAAGACTCGAAATAGGGCCCTGCTGGTCATGTTCAATGTAATAACCATTTCAGCGATGGGACCAGGTGGTATGTCGGCATCTACTTGTCTACTATTACTTCCCACAATGTTTGATCCCTATCTTCGCTCAAAAGCCGACGTGGATACAATAATCATAATGGGATGAATTAAATTATAGGGCACTCTGATCACAATCATGGCTATCAATAACTTGCAATGAATAGCTTATAAATCCTATTACTATTTGGGCCTCAACCAGCGAAAACAGCCCTCAGGGCAAAAAATTTCAAAACTCCTTTTGGTTAGAAATTTGTTGAAACGCATCTCCTGAAGGACCTCAGCTGAGAAAAAGTTCAATATTCCGATTTAAAACGTGTTTATACACCAATATACAAGATGTACTCCTAATTGATGCAATTTATGTGTACGATGCATGTGTACAATAAATATTCAGCATTCTAAGGTTGGTGGGCTCTTGACTACCTTTGAAACAGTGCAGTAGGTAGCTAGAATGGCAAAGAATAGCTGAAGAGTGCGGAGACATGATCGACATATTCGCAGCTGCATCCTGCGTGGAGTCGTTCCACAATCTAATCTTCCATTTCTTCCTCAGCAACTGAAGACATGGCGTCGCTGCCGTCACTAGCCCCAGACTCAAAATTATTTATTTCAGGTGACGACTGTTCATCTTCCGACTCTGACGAGTCATCGGCCACCTTGAGCAGGACATGACGGCTGCGATTCCGCCTCGCTGTCGACATGGATGTCGGAACCAAAGAACGTCTCATCCTCACTCTTCAGCGGCTACTTCAGCATCTGCTCCCCACCAGGCTCTAGCTAGCTGTACACAATGAGAGCCGCGTGTGCTCGGCGAACAGCTCTGGCGTCCGCAGCCATCGCAACAAGATCAAGGAACACTCGAGTCGCAACTCGACACCACTTCAACTTCAAAATAAATTACTTCAAGCAAGGAGCTCGAGAAGAACTCGTCGTGCTGTTCGCAGCGCGATCAAAAAATCGTTCAACGTCACAAATCGACCTTTTTCTTGAAAAAATTACGAAACCTCTAAGGGTCGTTTTCCCTGATTGCGGCTCATTAATTGATATTATCTTCTGTCGCGAGTTTCCATTGATAACTGTCAGGTGAAAACGTTCTCGAATAATTTATTATTTATTTGTTGCCGTGTTTGTGATATGAGTGTGCCTATAGTCATTTTCAGTGCACTAGTCTCTCTGATTGGATTAGAGGCTTACAATGCAGCTTAATAATAACGTTCGTGCCGAAAGGGTTAATGGAAGTTTCCGGAGGAGGAAGGAGGAAACTGTAGTTATCACCAACCCTCACCGCGCCCAGCTCACGCCGCCACGGCGTGCGACCTGAGCTGGGCGCCCTGCCCAGTATGGAACTGTCCTCAAGCCAGTCACGTATTTGGCAGCCCAGTGAGCTGTCTACCGGATCGCAGCGTTTAGAAGCGCCAAATGCGGCAGGGCCAGTCTCAGGCTGGTCGCGTAGGCGGCAGGCCGGCGGGCGACCGGCAAGGCTGCATTCGCATTTGGATCACCGAAGTGATACAGGTGCTTCAACGGCACTCCGTGGCGCATCAAGGAGGCATCTGGGGCCCAGGCAGCCCGCCCGTAAGCGCACCACCGTATCAGGTATGCGCAGGTGGAGCAGCAGAGCAAGATGTGTGCCGGACACTCACCATCATCCGGTCGACTGCATGGTTGTGCGACTTTACACAGCCGTCACTCATTACTTGCTATTGCTTGCAGAAGGCCAGAATTTTTTTGCTCTCGTTTGCTCTAAAGCTAGTTGGTTTACATGGTTTATACCCGTACCTGAGCATGGATCCTACTCAGCAGCGGATCGCTGGTATTCCTCGTTTGAGACCGCGGCGACGGCAGCGTCGGCCCTGACCAACAAGCCTCGGGCGATGAGCATGCCGGCCGAAAATGCAGGCATGGACACTGTCGTGTATGACCAGTTTAGTTGAGTTCCTTGGAGGCGCCATGATGCCGGCCGGCGCATGTGTTGGCGCACGGGAGACGATTAGGACAATACAGCGTGCGGAATACGTCGAGCTGGCCACAATGCTTCCTTCCTGTCCTGCCCACACGCAGCCAGCAGCCAAACGTGTTAGAATCGATCAATCCGATGGCAATCACTGAGTGGAATTGTCATTGGCGGCTCCTCTTCTGGCAAGAGAAAAACTGAATCTCTAATCTACTGGGTCGAGGCCTGGCAGACTTTCAGAACCATCGCGCCTTGCAACACGAGCTTACGCCCTCTGGGGCCCTAAGTAGTCCGACAAGAAATTCATACTGCACGGCGACAAAAAGGCAGTTGGAGCAGTCTGAAATCCGGGACTTGCCGAAATCCAACCGTGACGGAACTAGCCCACTTCAGCCCCCGCATGGTAGCAGAACACAAGGCTTTATCTCGCTGACTACCCATATTACGGTCACGGACAACTCCGCTGCGGACGCTCTTTCACGCGGACGATTAGTCCATTTCCTCTCATCGGCTCCCTAATCCAGCTGCTGGACTCGGCTTAGTCCCGAACTCATGCTATGCGGGTGCAACTAATCATGGCAGCAAACCGGCTGAACTTCTTCTCAACCAATGCGTGCCTCCTTTTTCATTCGCTGTGTAGTCTATCTCTCTCAGCACACGTGGGTAAGCACGCAAGCACACACACACCCTCGCACACGCATACATACATACATACATACATACATACATACATACATACATACATACACACACACACATACTCTCTCTCTCTCTCTCTCTCTTTATCCTCCTCTCCTCCATCCCTCACCCTGCTTCGCCTCTAAGTGCTGTCGCTCCCCTCCCCTTCCTACTCGTACTAGGCGGCATTACACCAAGTCTCAGCATGTGGGGTCTACTTTGCTGTTTTGGGGCTTTGTTTGGACATGGCAAGCTGTTATCTTTTTCCTTGCGGCTGTCGTCGCTGTTGCCATTGTTGTTTAGATACCACGGCGAGTCGGCAGTACGTGCCGGTGTTGGCGGGCTGGCGACCTTGTTTTACTTTCAGTAATTAACACTTTACCCGAGGTGCGACGGATTAATCCGTCACGACCGCGCAGGGCATATTGCAGACACGCGTATGTGCATTACACACACACACACTCACACATTATGCGCACCCGGCGGGCAGGGCGATTGGCCCATGCTGCTTATTCAGTTGTACTAGCGGAGGCAGGGGCGATTCCCCTACGTAATCGCCCATGTGGCGGAATACCCGGCGGCCTGATACGGCGGCGTTGCGAGCAAATGCAGGGGTGGTTCCCTTTTGAGCTCTGTTTGTGGCGGCGGCAGAGGCAGGGGCAGTGCCCCTAGCCCATGCGGCGGTTGACCCGGCGGCCCGACATGGCAGTTGGCCCCGGGGTCCGATATGGTAACTGACCCGGCGGTCTGATATGGCGGCTGACCCAGCGGTCTGATATGGCGGCTGACCCAGCGGTCTGATATGGCGGCTGACCCGGCGGTCTGATACGGCGGCTATGCGAGCAAATGCAGGGGCAGCGCCCCTTTGCGCGTGTTGTTTGCGGCGGCATTGGTCAAGGCAGGGGCAGCGCGCCTCGCCTGGGTGGCGTTATGCCCGGCGCTGCGGCTATGTTTGCAAAACGCAGGGGCCGCTCCCCTTTGAGCTTTGTATGTTTACAGCTATGTTTGCAAGATTCAGGGGCAGCTCCCCTTGGGGCCTGGTACAGTTATGTTTGCAAAAAGCAGGGGCAACTCCCCTCCGAGCCTTGTATGTAATCGTTTACAGCGATGCTTG